CTACTACTACTACTAATAATAATAATAATAATAAAAGATTACGAACTCTCCAGTAACTGTAGGAATACAAGGAGCGTCTGCATTCTATTGACCAGTTCGGTATGACTGCCCGCCGATTAAGTAGTCTCCAAATTCACAGATATTCGACGATAAACGAAGACCCTTCATTCCCATGCGACCATGCGCAGTACACGAAACTCTCCCGAGCGAGCATCCCCAAAATCCTCCTGTTCTGTCGGTGTGCCGCACAAATTTCGTTTCGTTAAGTGCTGGGTGTAGTAGAGTATAATCTTGAGCACACCCACACCTGGAGATTTGCTAAGAACTGGGTAGTTTCTAGAAAATACTGAAAAGATATTGTCAAGTTTTACCGAAACGACGAAAAAAAAAAGGAATATGGGAGACTTGACGATATTGCGCCGGTCGTCTCTTTTCTTTTTTTCTCGCATTAATATTTTGCTAATTTCTTGCATTCCGATCAATTTAATGCAACCAATTCCCCACTCTCATTGAAAAGCGTTTGCTAGTTTATATTCTGAAGCTCTGTGCGTATTTATTGCAACCTTCACTTATGTGAATTTTTTTTATGACACATTTTGATGTTATGCCGTCCTGGCAAAGCTCGATTCCCGACCCATCTGCAGTAGGGGGTACAGGACATGCCTGAGATATGTTATCATCATCATCACGACATCCCCCAGCTAGAGCTCCAAGTGCCACGTTTATTCTTCGAAGGACTTGTTCACGCTGGTTGCGGTAAGTACTGCCGTCACTTGTCAAGGTGATCGTGGTGCCACGAAAACATTAAGCGCCACGCGTCTCTGAAACGAACCCATCTCGCTTTGTTGGCTCTCGTACGGAGAAGCTGGCCTAAACGCTCTAGTACTAACGCTAATCATCGCATCACCAGTATGCTAATTTAAAGTAAGTTTAACCAGAGAGCGTGAACGTGCGTGACTTGTTCGCCAATTTCTTTCATTAGCAAGAGCACGGCGCTTCATTAATCACATGACGGTCTGAACGACTCCGGTGAAGTAGGGACGAAGCTCACGGTAACAATGACGGGGCTTGGCAATAACTAATTAACTCACAGGTACTTTTCCCGACATAATTAACACCTAATAACGAACGAGTTCAAAGGTATACATGATAGAAAAAAAAAGAAACGAGGAGCTCGGCCAGTTCGTAGGCATTCGTGTTAACGAGACAAGTCGTGCAAACACAGAAACGCGAGAGATGTCAAAACACTACAGACGCCGTCAAACAAATGAAAAAAGCGCACAGCGACGGCAAACAAGGTAGATACAGAAAAGTTATCCGTGCATTCCCAGAAAAGAGGCGAGCATATCAAAGTGGCACGTGTGTGTGTTGTATATTACACGTACGTTAGATATTTTCCCAGAAATTCAAAGCCGCTTTTAAACTTCGCGTCTATACATTCGTAGATCGCAAAAATGGTATATCCAAGTCATGCCGTATTACTTAGGCTATAGAGAGCGCCGCCCTCTCCCGTGATACCTCGTTTGATTCTGGCTACTTGAATTATACCTTCTTTTTGCGCCACGTTCAGGTCATCAGGCCCTCATTGGGAGGGAGTTGGAAAGAAAATTCTGGGAAGGGAACACCGCATGCTTTATGTTTTCGGAGCCCTCTTTTAATGATACCCTGGTATTGGCACGCAAAACCCCAACAGTTATAATGTGCTGAAACCAAGAGTTTTGATACTCTTCAGCCAAGTGGCCCCGCAGCGGTGGTCTAGTGGCTAAGGTACTCGGCTGCGGACCCGCAGGTCGTGGGATCGAATCCCGGCTGTGGCGGCTGCATTTCCGATGGAGGCTGAAATGTTGTAGGCCCGTGTGCTCAAATTTGGCCGCACGTTAGAGAACCCTAGGTGGTCGAAATCTTCGGACCCCTCAACTACGACGTCTCTCATGATCATATGGTGGTTTTGGGACGTTAAACCCCACATATCAATCTTCAGCCATGTGATAGCGTTGTGTCATCGCGTCCTAACCCTTGCTTATATACATTCCACCAGCTAGTCACGTGCACACACTGTTCGGGGTTCAGGGAATTCTGTGACTCGCTACTGACCACTGCCGCATGCTCCCTCATGCAGGTTTGTACAGACGGGCTTGACTGCCCTAGCCTCGTTTTTTCGTCCGCCATGGCTTGCCTTTCCACATCGATGCCGATGGTGCGCTGTCTGCTGATAACCGTGCTGCTGGTGGGCCACAGTGGTGTAGTGACACCGCTGAACTTCGAAGGCCTCGCCGAGTGCGGCGAAAGCTGCGGCGGCGTCGCGTGGCGCAAGTGCGTTGACGAGTGCCACTGCGTCATCAAGTCGGGTGACTGGGGCCAATGCCTGCCCCGCGGGGTGAACAAAACCCGCGAGCTTCCACTGCTGTTCAAAAGCCCTTTTCGCCAAAAATGAACCACGATATGGTTTCGCAATTCCTTCGCCCGTGGATGAGTGGTTCTTGCTGCTGCCACTTGAAATAAATAAAAATTTGCAGCCACTTGTGAATGATGTAATCACCGGTAACGCTTTGCCCCCTTTTTCGAAAAAGAACAAACGCATCGTTAAAATTAGGTATTGAGGCTAATCTGGCGTTGGTAAAGCAGACTTCACACTTTTACTGTTAGCATGCTGGGCAGTAATATCAATCAATCAATCAATCAATCAATCAATCAATCAATCAATCAATCAATCAATCAATCAATCAATCAATCAATCAATCAATCAATTGTTAACTTCAATCATTTTTTTCAACATGCGCAGGAACTGCCGTAAAGTCTTAGTGGTGGGGCTCACACACAAAAAAAATACTAACGCTAAATGTTGATGGTAGCCGACAGATGGAAACAACGTAGTGGGATAATCAGTATGAACAGTGGAAGTGCCTCAGAGTGGCTGGCCGACGTTTCGATAGAAGGACCTATCTTTTTCAAAGGCACCGTGTCACCCTTTGGCTGTTTGTTTTAGAAGGGTTAGTGATGACGTCATCTCCTGGTGGTGGCGCGTGTCCCCATTGATAATCGCCGTCTGAAAAGAAAACAATACTACAAAAAAAAAACAGACCTGAAGGGAAGTCAGGACTGCACTCCTCTGCTTTATAGTTTCTTTTTTCCAGTTTTCCAGGCAGCGATTATCAACAGGGACACGCGCCACCACAGGAGATGACGTCACCACTAACCATTCTAAAACAAACAGCCAAAGGATGACACGGTGCCTTTGAAAAAGATAGGTTCTCCTATGAAACATCGGCGAGCCACTCTGAGGCACTTCCCCTGTTCACACTGATTATCCCACTACTAACGCGAAATGGTAATTTGAAGACAAACTACAAAACAAAATGTACCAAAAAGGGAGACATTGTAAATACAACAAAATTAACACTGGTCTGAATAAACAAACACGCGCAACATAGATAACAGTCTTAAATATATTCCACAAGCTACAACACACACTTTCAGCTCACAATGTGAGCTGAAAGAAAAAGAAAAGGGGGAAAAGGGCTTGTACAATGCACGTCGTTATGTTAAAGCAACGAAAAACTCGCAAGTAGTTTGACGTGACCCCGAAAATCTGGTGACCGTAAAGCCGCAGGGCAGGGTGAAGCGAAATTGGGAAAGACAGAGAAAAGACAAACATTCAGTCCTCGTCTGCTAACTACTGCGCCATATAAATAAACTGAAACGTTAGTTAATAAAGTTCTTTCTATCTCTCTCACTATCTAGACTGCGAGACCTTGAACGAAAAAAAAAAAACAACCGAAAACGGAGTTTAGTCAAGAGCTGTGCTGCTCATTCGTACTCTTCACGTTATTTGCAAAACTTGCGATTCTCATAATTATTTAACAGTGTCGTGCTCATTTCTCCTCATATAATTTTTGTTAGTTTAGGTGCAGATTCTTCGTTCATTGAAACAAGCGTTAAACACTGTTTCCAGCGCATTTCTTTAGAACCTGTTCTCGTCGTTCTCCTCATTTTCATGCAACTCTTTTCATTATTTTAAAAGACGTAAGCTAACAAAATAGAAGTATTTTGTTAAAACTACCCTCTTTTTGGTCAATCCCCCACGTGGGTGTGTGCCACAGATTCCAGGAGGAGGAGGAGGAATAAATGAGGAAGGACAGGGAGGTTAGCCAGTTCTCAGACCGGCCGGCTACCCTGTACAGATTCCAGACTCTTCATTTCTTCTAGGAAGACCATATACTCGAAAACTCTACTGTAGTGGGTATGTGCTATTGTTAATTATAATGCTATCCCGGTCATATCCCTGTCAGTCAAAATTTCAAGCGCCTCGTTGCTTCTTTGAAAGGGCTATTCCTGCTTGTCGAGGTAAGTGTCGTCTCTTTATGTCATTGTGAACAACATGTGGACGTCTAACGGTGAACTCTCGCAGAACTTTTATAGTATTAGCACGAAATGCAACGTTGGCCTTCATGGCAGGTATCAAGCCTAGACAGAATCTCTATACTATCGATAATCACATCACTGGCATGCGTCCAGACGAAGCGTGAGCTACGGCATGCAAACGTGCGTGATTTGTTGGCAAGGTGTTTGCATAGACGTCCTGCATCAGCAAGCGGGCAATGCGTGTTCCATTGCACGACATTCGATACCTCAGCTATAGGAAGCAATGACGAATCTCTCGAAAACGCTGATGGGGGCCTGAATATATATTAAAAAAAAAACAAAGACAGGAGCATCCTACATTGATGACAACTGATACCGAGAAATGGGATCTAGGTTGCTCGAAAAACGAAAACAAAAAAAGACAAAAACGATGGTTTTCTTTCTCGGGAATCGTTCGTCACCAGGACGTGAAACGAAACCTGATCGAACGTAGCTGTAAATTTTTTTTTGTTGGTTAAGAAATGCAATATGCCTAGTGTATTGCTATAGTGGCGGTGCTATGGCTGTCCAGAGAGGAGAAATTAGTGGGGGGAAGAGAAAGCAGATATAACGCCCACACACTGGTAGCTCTCTCTGGCTCGCGGCATAGTGGTTAAGTCATCTTGTTCCCGTCTTCGAGGGCCTAAGAGTAGGAGGACCCATTTCCCGATAGGACGAGCAAGGTAAAAATATTTTTCTGGCAATGCTTCTCTGTAATCTATTCGAAAACCCTCTTAGTGACGCCAATGTTGCGACGAAAAGGACCTCATGGTGTAAGCAACTGTCGCTGTAAAGCGGAGACAACGAGATGGACACCAGATAAACATGATGCGACAAGGATCACACTAAATCCGACTTACATGGAGCGTTGAGGTAACGTATGCTGCAAATGCTTGTACGATTAATCTCTACACACTCGAGGAATGCCACATAACGTGTACTATAGCACTAAAAGGCATAGGGCGATCGCCTTGCAAAGCGAGAAAGCGTTCCACTAAGCATAAAAAATGACGTATTTGTTGATTTTCTTACCAATAAAGGATAAACAAAGAATACGAAACAAATAGTTGGTTCAATATCAAGTGTGCAATCTAGCCCGAGAATTTTCTCGTATGATGGCAAGATTGCACTGCATTCTTAACCCTTTCAGACGCCAACTATTAAGAAATGTCCGTAAATGTGTCAAATCCCTACATCCCTATTTCAAGGTACTCAATATTTTATTCCAACAAAAATAACGAGATGATTGTTGAATCTATGTGTGTCATAGTAACTTGTTTTAATTAGGTTGCAATTTAATATCTCTTTATTCTGAAGTCATCAGTGCTTACTTTTGGCATAAACAGAGTCTAATCTCAGGCTAGAAATATAGTTCAAATTTATTTTTTTGGCTATGTAAATTGCGAGCGAGGAAAATCACTGCTTTTCACAATGCTTGCAGGAAGCAGTACATCGCACGACTCGTCAAACGTGGTAGTGCCTTCAGAAAAGTGATCATATGTATCAAATACACTGCAAAATGAGATTAAATGAAGACAAATTAATCATGCAGGAGGTTCAATCCATCTAATGTACGATATGATCTTGCTCTATCGTAGACTCTACTCGATGGAAATAACGAAAACGAGTGGTGCACACAAGTATGTGCGTAGCATCTGAAAGGGTTAAAACAACAGGGCACGTGACGTACCAGGCAAGTTAGCAAAAAAAAAAAAAAAGAAGAGTTAGCCCTGGTCTTCTTCTCAGAGGATCGTACTGATTGCTCACCACCCTCCCCGCCATCCGGCCGGAAATCTTCGTGCACTAAACGTGGTTCTGCGGTGTCTCCAGGGTGAGCCCGCTTTCGAGCGAGTGATTATGTCATGCGATGACGTCATAGTGACGTGTGTATGACGCCTCAAATATTTGCGATTTTTGACATCATCATATCGCAGAGTGGTGCCATCGCATGGCGATTTCCTGCATCACTCGTGTTGATCGACTTCGGCAATGTCCACTTTTCGTGCTTGAAGAGATGTTCGATGCTGTGACTTTCCCAACCACATTATAGAGTGTCTGCATTACTTACCGCGAACATGTGTTGGAATAAAACAGTCTGACGTTCAAGAAAGGTGTGGTCGTATTATGACGACACGCCTTGCGTATACATATTTTACTGTGTAGTCACTAGCGCTACCCACTCTGTTCGGGCTTCTGTAAGTTCGTTGGCTCACCCATGATCACCGAACGCTTCCTCACGCAGGTCTCTGGAGTAGGGCTTAATTTGTCTGAGTTCGGCTCGCATTTCCGTCCGCCACGGCTTCTTTTTCAATGTCAACGGTGCTCTGTCTGGCGACGGCCGTGTTGCTGGCAGGGAACGGTGGTGTGCTGACCTCGGTAAACTCCCAACCCGTGGCCGAGTGTGGTGAACGGTGCGGTGGCTTTGCGATGCGCATGTGCGTGGACGAGTGCCACTGCGTCTTCTACCCGGGCGACTTGGGTTTATGCCTGCCGCATGGGATGAACGAGACCGACCTGCCTCCATTGACCCACCTCTGATGAAGCGCTGTTCATTCCCGCCAATGATGAATTGTACACCTAGATGTTGTTTTATTGTTACTACGCTCATCGTCATGCATTTAGTGCAGTTGCCAATTGAAATACATAATCTTGCAGCTTTTTTGCGAATTACGGCATCACAGGCTGTGTTAAGCTCACTTTCTCATAAGCTCACAAGCGCATTGTGTAAACGTGGATAGAAGCTAATTTGTTGGCGAACTGCACACAACACTATGTATTTATATGCAGTGCAATGTCAATAAGTTAATAAACGAATATTTAAATAATAATTAATGACTGTGATGACACTGGGCGTGAAAAGACCGGACACGTAGTACACTGCGCAAGGTTTGTTTCGCCTAGAAGAGCTGTGCGGCTTGTTAGCAATTTTGACGTTGTTTGCCAAATTTTAAGAATGGGAACACTTAAGGTCGACATTTTTCAGAATATAATGGTGTAACGCAGCTCACTGCTCTTGGCTAAGGCGCCTCTATGCCAGGGTTCTTTAGTACAGGCTGTCGAAAAAGTTTCCTGTTTGGAGACTTGAAACAGCACGGCGGGGGCAAGAACAATATATATATATAGGTGTCCCCACCCTGTGCGAAGGAACACTTTCATCTAGGCACCCTACTTCTGGCGGGCCTGCGGCGCAAAATTTTGGGAAAGTTTCCCTACACACTTCCGGTCTACTAAAAACGAAGTTTCGGTCGCCTCAATATCTCGTGGAGCACGTACTACGCAATTAGAGTGGAATAGGTATTCGTTTGTCACTAGCAGGTAGATGTACGAAAAGGAAAGCGTCAATGGTAACTGGCACGTGAATGTCAGCTACGATCCAGACGCCCGCGCAAGAGACGAGAAAGCGAAGCGTCAAAGATCAAGAGCTTCGAGTGCGAGAAGTTGAAGTTGAACGGGAACGGCTTCCGCTGGACTGTGAGTTTAAGACGAGGCAAAACGATACGATGGAGAAGAGAGAGAGAAGTAAACGTTTATTTTGAAACAGTGCCCCGAGCAATGCCCGGTGTCACCCTGAGGTGGGAGGGCTCCTTAGTCCAGGAACCCTTTGGCTTCTACTGCCCTCTTGGCCCTGGCAACGAGTTGTTGTTGATCTTCCAGGTCCTCGAGGGCGAGCTTCGCCTCCCACGTTTCGATTAGGTCTTCGTTTGTCCGTCCTGCTTCGTTATCAGTCGTATGTTGTTGCAGATTACGTCTGGCAATACACTGGCATGCAAGAAGCAAGTGCGCCAGGGTGTCCGGTACGTTGCAAAGCGGGCACAGAGCTATATCTCGTTGGATAGAGATGGTGCATTAGGGCCCCATGTGTGTATGTGCTGCTTTGCAGGCGTCTCAGTATTACGCTTTCCTCTTTTGTCAGTTTTAGGTGTGGTGGAGGGTATACTCGTCGCTCCAGCCTGTAATGCTGGAGCAACGACGAGTAGGTGTTTTGAACAACTTCCGTCTCTTCAAATACGATCGAGAACGCTCCACTTTTTTCTTAGCCTTATCGACGGTAAATCATTAAAACTAGGTGACCCTTTTAGTACTCCTAGTTATCTAAAACTGCGAGTGATCCTATCCTTTAAAACAATTCTTGGTGAGTTTAAAGTCGGACGACTCAATTACTGCATTATACATCGTACGTCGTTTCAGCACGTCTTCTTCGAATTTGTTTTTCCTCGGTACACTTTACCTTTTGCGCAGTTCTAGGAACATGCGTTTCTCAATCCGCCTACAGATGTCGGTACGCGCCACGGTTGAATACCAACCCTTTAGTTGGTATTCATGTACCAGAGGCTGTCCCTGGAACGTGGTTCTTAAGCGTAGTCGGCATGGCATCTTTCATTATCTTTGCACCATTATGACTTTTAGAACGACCGAACAAAAGGACATCACGCGATCATGTAAATACGGGCTATGAACTAATTTTTTTTTTTCAAATCGAAACTTGTCTCAAACGTGCAATCACTGAAACCTCCCTGCCTCCTCTCCTGTTGTTCTTGTCGTCCTCCAATTACTGATATCGACCCCACGCATTGTCGAGCTGGCGGGTTTTTAGTGCGTCACCACGAAATATTTCAATGAAACGCCCATAGCAAGCGCACTGCTTACCATGTTCTAACCATGGTTATCGCAAACAGAGCTATAGACAAGCACTGTTCACTCTCTTAAACTCAGAAGATGATTAGATGATGGACAAGCGGTGAGTAGAGCAGCCGTAAATTAGATGGATTTGGATGGATTTGTGGGGTTTGACGTCCCAAAACCACGCCATGATTATGAGAGACGCCGCAGTGAAGGGCTCCGGAAATTTCGACCACCTGGGGTTCTTTAACGTGCACCCAAATCTGAGCACACGGGCCTACAACATTTTTGCCTCCATCGAAAATGCAGCCGCCGCAGCTGGGATTCGATCCCGCGACCTGCAGGTCAGCAGCCGAGTACCTTAGCCACTAGACCCCCGCGGCGGGGCAGCCGTGAATTGGTGCAAGGTAATGACAGCTTGGCGTCGTTCGAGTATTTTCATGGAATGCGACCAACAAAGATAATTCCATCCTCGCGGGGGTAGCGAGAGGGCACATACTACCACACACTACAGGTTTTTCTTTAGGGTAATTGCTTTTCGCAGTGATCGCAACCAGCCACCTCATAGAACCACATTCTTTTTTTTTTCGAACCTCACTGACTTCACCAACCTTACATGTTAAGTTTTGCTTGAAGAGTATGAAAGAATGAGACAGGCGCACAATAAACAGAATTTTGCAAGGACCACATCAAACCCTAACGACGTATACCGTTAAGTAAACGTATGCTGGATATAATTGAGCGAATAATTTTTTTGAACAGCGCAATATAACGAGGTGCTCATTTAGTTGGCTTAGGTATTTCAGGGCGAAGTGACAGACCGTGCCAACATGTACTCAAGAGAGAAGTAAAGATAACACAAAAAAATGGCCCCGTATCTGCACGTTAATCAGCAAATGTCATCGAAAGACGATAGTCTTGCTTGTGGAGAGAGTGATCACAACATTTATTTAATGTTCTGCGCAAGAAAATCGGTGAATGGTATTCTGGTGGCGCTGCGTTAGAGTGCCTCGAGCGTGTAGCGGATGCGAACAAACGCATCAAATCACGTCACACGTGAGACATGAGCGCCATCTGGCAATTTTTTTTTAAAACAAAGTGCGTGGCACTGAAACGGGCGTGCACGCCCGTCTCAGAGGCGATAAGGTGTAGAACGCAAGGGGATGGGTAGGTGCCACCGCCTTGTTTTCTTAGCAAAGCGTTAGAAACACTCACCTTTCGCACAAGTGTTGCATGGTCAGCGCAGCGTGATAAATGCTACGGTCCTTAGAATTACTTATGTATGCCTTTTTTTGAGTAAAAGACGCATATACAGAATATATATGTGTTGTTATGGTGCCTCAGGTATGCGCAATAGTTGCTTTTTAATTGACAATCGAAGTATGAACGCTTAATCTTGAGCAACATTAGTGGGCGCTGCAGATGGGGTCGGCAGTTTGAAGCAACGGCTGGTGTCGTCCAAAGTGTCCGGTACCATTAAGGGTGGACAAACAGACAGACCAAAATTTTTGCGTCGAAGGTCCCCAAAAAAGACTACCGCCTTTAAAAACTGACTAACAAATTGAAAAAAAAAAAATCCGCACAGTGGCGGAAAAGAAGGTATAAAAAGTTACCCGCGCATGCCCATGCAAGAGGTGAGCCTTCCATTCGGGCATCAATGGCGGATTCAGAGTGGGTGGGACGAGGGGCGATAGGAAAGATCCCCCCGCCCCCAAAAAGCCTGTCAGCTCCCTTCCCTTTCTCTTCAGTGCTTGCCGTCCACCTATGAGTGGGACCACCTTGAGAAACAGTATTTACGCGCTATTATAGAGTTCTTGCACTAATAAAAACAAACAAAAGTAATGACCACGTCACCCTCTCCGGTTTTTCTTCAAGTGAACCCCCCCCCCCCCCCTTGAAATGAGTGGTTGGATCCACCTCTGCCCCTGCATTCGTGTTGGCATCCGTGAGAGATTATTCTAGATCTTCAAAAGCGTTTTTAAACTTCTCGTCGAAACATTCTCAGATTGTAAAAATGGCATAATCAAGTCATGTCTTATTTCCTATTGAGGGAACCGCCGCTTCCTTCCCTAGTACCTTGTCTGGTTGAGGTTACGTGAAATACCTCGTCTTGGTGCCGCGTTCTGGTCGTCAGACCCTCGGTATAGGAGGGAGTTGGGAAGAAAATCGGGTGAGGGGAGCACCACGTGGTCTATATATATGCCGGAGCCCTCCCTTTACGGCGTGTCTGGAAATCGTACCGTGGTATTGACACCTAGAACCCCAACGATTGTAATGTGCTGAAATAGAGTTTTTGATACTCTTCAGCGATGTGATAGCGTTGTGACATCATCTCCTTACTCTTGCTTATATATATATATATTTCACCATGCGGTCACGTGCACTCACTGTTCGTGATTCAGTGAATTCCGTGACTCCCCGCTTGCCGCATGCTCCCTCACGCAGGTTTGTATACAGTCGGGCTTGACTGCCTTCTTCTGGCTTTTGCGTCCACCATGGCTTGCATTTCCACATCGATGGCGACGGTTCGCTCTCTGCTGATGACCATGCTGCTGTCGGGGCGCGGTGGTGTACTAATACCGGTGAACTTCGAAGGCCTCGCCGAGTGCGGACATGCCTGCGGCGGCATCGCGTGGCGCCCGTGCGTGGACGAGTGCCACTGCGTCTTCGAGTCGGGTGACTATGGCAGATGCCTGCCCCACGGGGTGAACAATACCCTCGAGCTTCCGCTGGACCACGGAGCTCGTTCCCGCCAAGAATGAACTGTTTTGCCATTCCTTCACGCTTGGTCACGTGCCTTGTGGAGCTGCCACTTGAAATAAATGAAATTTTTGCAGCCTATTGTGAATGATCATTGATGTAATCACCGGCAATGTTTTACTGCCTTTTTTCGTAAACGAACAAATGCGTCGTTAAACATAGGTCTTGGGGACCTGGTGTTGGAAAAGTAGACGTAACACTTTTTCTGTTCCATTAGCATGCAGTGCAATAAATAAACGAATAAATACACGGACAAATAAATAAATAAATAAATAAATAAATAAATTAATAATTAAACGTACACAAGGACTGTCGTAGAGTACTTATAGTGGGGCTCGCAAAAAAGAAAATTATTAACGCTAAATGATGAAATATGAAGAAAACCACCAGAAGACGATGTCAATAAAGAAAAGGGACAATGTAAATGCAACAAAATTAACACGGGACCGGACACAGTAACTAACGAAATATGGATAACAATCTTAGACTCCACAAACAGCAAAACCCAATGTGAGCTGATTGAAAGAAAGGAAGAAAGGACCTGTAAAATGACAGTCACGGTGTTAAAGAAACAAAGAACATAGAAGAAATTTGGCGTGCAGCTTCATTTCCAAACTTTTCGAGTTTTTTCTATCGGGCATGCCGGAAAACCACCGATCCCAAAAAATGTGGTGGCCGTAAAGCCACAAAACAGCGTGAAGTGAAACTATAGAAAAGACCGAGAAAAAGAGAAAGATTAAGTCCTCGCCCGGAAACTATAATACGCCAAGCCAATCACTACTTGCTCAGTAAGTATTTTTATTTATATAAAATTTTATCTCTAAGCTAATTTTTGAGATTAGTTTAAGTTTTACTACTTTAAGCATCCTGCCGCCCGGATCTTGGCCCATTCCCTTTTGTGGGTGGGCGGCATTCATACGAGGTCATCATCATCAACTGCAGCAACTGAAACGTTGGTCAACAAAGTTCTTTCTTTCTCTTTCACTATATAAGCGGTCGTACATTAGGGGAAGAAAACGCCGAAAACAGAGTGTAACGGGCAAAATATTTTAGGCAAGAAAACAAATATTCGTGCTTTATATGTTATTTTAATATGTTGCAATTATCACAGTTTTTCAATAATGTCAATGTTTCTCGCTCGTCCAATAATTTTTGTTAGTGCAGATCCAGATGCTTCGATTATTGAATAAGGCATCGTACATCGTTTCCAGCACATTTCCTTTGAATTTGTTTTTCGTCGAACTAATTCAGCTTTTAATGCAACTTTAGGAAGACCAGATACTCGGCAACCTTATACAGTAGTGGGTACTAGTTTTCATTGATTATCGTGCTATCCCGGTCATCTCACCGTCTCTTAAGATTTCAAACGCCCCGTTGCTTCTTTGAAAAGGTTATCTTTCCTGGTCGAGGTAAGCGTCATCTCATTACTTGAATGTGATCATGATGTGGGCGTCGAACGGTGAACACTCGAAGAACTTTTAGATTAACAGGAAATACAATGTTGTCCTTCATGCCAAAAAGCTTGCCAAGCCAGCATCTCTACTATCTGTAATCCCATCCCCGTAACATTCTTAGACCAAGTGTGAGCTTCATCAGGAATTGTGTGGTGTTCCATTACTAAAAGGACGTCTAATACCTTAGCTACGAAGGAGTGACGAATCTCTCGAAAACACCGATGAGGCTTACCTTTAAAAAAAAAATGATGACATCCGCTTCTTACATGTACGTACACCGTCAGCGTGAAATATAAAACATTTAGCTTGCGCAAGAAGAAACAAACAAAAATGATGGTTGTATTTTTTTTCTCAGGAATCATTTCGTTATGCGGAAACTTAACGCATCTGAAAGAAATATCATGGCCATAAATTTTTTTTCCTGGGTTTAGAAATTCAATATGGATAGTGTATGGCTCTAATGGTGGCGCCGTGACAGTTGAGAGAGGGGAAATTAGTGGGGCGAAGAGATAGCAGATCTAACGCGCACGCACCAGAAGCTCTCCTTGGCTCGTGGCGTCTTTTTTAACCCATCTGGCTTCTGGCTTCGAGGGCCGAAAATTCCAAGGATACATTTTGTGATAGGACGAATAAGGTAAAGATTCATTTCTGGCAATATTTTTCGGTAATATATTCGCAAATCCTTTTATTGAAGCCGTTCTCGTGACGGGAAGGACGTCACTCAACCTTTGGTGGAAGCATGTATAAACGCTGTTGTGGTAAAGGAGAAAAAACGAGATGGACACAAGATAAACACATTGTTGTGAGTACCCCACCATATGCTAACTACATTGTGCGTTGAGTGAACGTGCGCTTAAAATACCTGAATGATCAAGTCTCGGAACACTTGAGCAAAGCCTACGTATGCATCACTTGTGCGCTCGATGGTATATAGGGATCGCGTTGCAAAGCGAAAAAGCATACAGAGAAGGACAGAAGATACATATTTGTTGGTTTGATTAATGATGATCATGAAACAAGAAGCTAATTAAACTATAAGTGTACAACTTCCGCCGGTAATGCCCGCGTATGATGGTGAGATTGCACTGCATTCGTAAAACAACAGGGCACGTGACATAACAAGAAAGTTAGCCAAAAGCCAAACTGTCGTTTATGCATTGGGCGAAGACGACTTGTAAGCTAAAAGCCTTGGTCTTCTCAGCCAATCGTCCTCATTTCTCATCCTCCACTTCCCACCCCCTCCTCGCCGGAAAGTTTTCTGCACTAAACGGGGTTTAGCGGCGTCTCCAGGACCAGCTCACCTTTAACCGAGACTCGATGACAACTGGTGATGTAACAGCAACGTAATTATGACGTCATAAATATTGGCCATCTGTGACGCCATGAAGTCGTATGTAGAGTGACGCCTTCGCATGATGATTTCCTGCGTCACTCGTGTCTTCTACGGTGACGGCCGCGTCCCGTGTTTGACGTGGAGTCCACTGCTTTCGCCATTATTACCGCAGTATATAGAAAGCCTGCATTGCTTACCACGAACATGTGTTGGAACTAAAGATTTCGACGTTCTTGAGTGGCGTGATCACGTTATGACGACGCACCTTGCTTAAATATATTTCACCATGTAGTCAAGTGTCCTCTACGTGCTTCGGTCACTGTGCTGTCTCATCCAACGGTTCCTTGCGCAGGTCTCCGCAGTCGGGCTTAATTTGTCTGAGTTCGGCTAACATTTCCGTCCACCATGGCTTGTTGTTCAATGTCGATGGTGCGCTGTCTGCTGACGGCCGTGGTGGTGGCGGGGCACGGTGGTGTGCTGACCCCGGTCAACTCCCAACCTGGCGCCGAGTGTGGTGAAACTTGCGGTGGATTCGCGATGCGCATGTGCGTGGACGAGTGCCACTGCGTCTTCTACCCGGGCGACATGGGTTTATGCCTGCCGCATGGGATGAACGAGAGCGACCTGCCTCCATTGACCCGCTTCTGACGGCGCGCTGATCCCCGTCAATAAGAAATTGTTTTGTTCTTCGTTGACATGCATTGACATGCATTAAGTGCCGTTGCCAATTGAATTACAATTAAACTTGCAGCTTTTTGCCAATGTGGACATGTCCGGCTGAGCTTATCTCACTTTCTCAATAGCGCACAAACGCTTGTGTGACACGTGCGTACATGCTAACTTGTCCGCGAACTGCACCTAACACCATCTATTTGTAAGTAATGTAATGTAATGCAATCAATCAATCAATCAATCAATCAATCAATCAATCAATCAATCAATCAATCAATCAATCAATCAATCAATCAATCAATCAATCAATGATAACTGGGACACTGATCGAGAAAAACGCCGGCAACTTATATAGTGTAATGCGCAAGGTTGGTTTCGCGACGATAGTTATAGCACGAGAACAGAATGACGACACAAAGACAAGAAAGACACGATGGAAAGGTCTCTGTGTCGTCGTGCTGTTCTCGCGCTATAACTATCGTCATGTCATACCAACTAGCCCAAGCTGCCACACTTCTAAGTTACTATAGCATATAGAAGAGTTGTGCGGCTCGTTAGCATTTGTTACGTTATTAGCCAAACTTTAACACTGAAGCTGCTTCTGGTCGAGATTTTCCCGGGACTATCGGTGTAACGCTGCTCGCTGCTCCTGGCTAAGGCGCATAGATACCAGGGTTCCTTCGTATAAAGTAGTGAGAGAGTTTCCTTTTTGAACCAATACGACAACACCCCAGAATGCGATTGCTATAGGGTTTGATACAACATGGCGCTGGCGCGGACAATAGGTGTCGCTACCCTGTGCGGAGAAACTCTTGCTTCCATGGGCCCAACTCCTGGCGGGCCTGCAACGTAGAAATTGCGCTAACTCCACTACTCACCTACGCTCCTCTAAAAATAAAAAAGGGACCACCTCAACATCCCATTGTGCACGTACTATGCAATGAGAGTGAAATAAGTATTTGATTGCCGAGAGGAGTTAGAAGCATCAGATATAGAACATTGATGGTATGCTTAGAAGCTCGGCGATGAGTAAATTGCACACTCTCCGGAATGAAGAGAGAGAGAGAAAAGACTATTTGATTATTTGGCGTCACACGATGAAGAAGGCGCGACATTTTTTTCAGCCTTAGCGACGTTAAGTCGGCGAAACTCGACGAAAATTTTGGTACACCTGGCGGGCCTGCGCCACAGAAGTTGCGAATAATTTTTTTTCCTGATAACAATATTCGTTAGTAGAGATTTGGGTGGTTCGATCTCTGCATTATGTATCGCGCATCCTTTTCATCATGTTTCCTGCGAATTCGTTTTTAGCCGGTAGACTTTAGCTGCAGTTCTGGGAAGGCTCGTTTCTCGACCCTTATACAGTAGTGGGCATGGGCGTCGGCCGGGGGGTGAAACAGTGGCAGTATAGCTCCCCTCAAGGCACACACGCACTTGCCCTCACCCAAGCTTCACCACACTCCCCCCTCACACAGCCGCTATGCAACAAGCATAGAGTTTCATACATTATTGTATAAAGCTCTAAGGCAACAAGGATTCACCCCCTACAAGACAACATCTCCACTGGCGACAATGGTAGCGGGTACATGCCATGGTTGAGTATCGTTATGTCATGGTCACCATCCTGCCAGTCAGGATTTCTCCGCTTGTCGAGTTAAGTGTCGTTCCATCATTTCATGGTGATCGGGATGTGGGAGTGTAACGATGACACGTTGCACAACTCTCAGATGAGAACAACCTGCCATGTTGACTCTCATGCCGGGAAGTGTGCCTGGTCAGCCTCACTAACATCAATAATCGTATCCCCCGTGTGCCCCTAGAGCAAGCGCGTGCTGGAGCATGCAAATGTGCGTCATTCGTTTGCATCAGAAAGCGCATGGTTTTCTTTTACTGACAGGACACTTGATGCTTCTGCGAAAAAGTAGTGACGAAGCTCTCGCTAACACGCACGGGACTTTGCTAAACAAAATAATGACAAAAGAGCTTTCTACATGTACGCTAAGCGATGGAGGTGAAATTGAAAACGAGCTCGAGTGTGTGCAAGAGATAAAGAAAAAAATAAGAAAGTAACACAAAACGAAAACGACACACACACACAAAAAAAAAAAGGTTCATGTCTCATTCCTAGGAACCCTTCCCACGTCGAAAGTGAAAGGTGCCTTCATAGAATCATCTCTGGCAAAAGGGGGAGAACGGGTGCGGCGAAGAGAAAGCAGATATAACGCGTTCGCGACGAAAAAGTCACACTGGCTCGTCGCGCAGAGGTTAGCTCATCCGACTTCTACGTTCGAGCACCAAGGCTTTGGAGGATCGACTGTCCGATCGTATTGCTAAGGTAACGTTTCCTCCTCTTCGACAATGTTTCTTTGTAACCTACTCGCATGGCCCTTCAGTGATGTCATTATTTGACGGAAACGACGTAATGACTGGTGGAAACAAGTACTGCCATAAAAAAAATAAACCCTTAATTGATTGGGGAAATCGGGGCAAGCGAAGCTTTGTAAAGGCGTGCCTGATATGCTGCTTTTGTTATTTATTTATTTATTTGTTTATTTGTTCACTTATTCAATAATTTATGTATTTATTCATTAATAGCGGTCCTACACAGAATGATTTCCTTAAGCTGAGTCGAAGTGGCATATCTCAGGTCCTTTCCACCATTTGTCAGCATCAAGAATGGCCCAACCAAACGACCATCTCGCGATCATGTAAACGTGGGTGAGGAATTGTATTTTTGCGAAGTCAGAATTTTAACGAAATGTACAATTCCTGATATGGTACTTCCTCATTGTTTGGCTGCTTGCTTTCAGACCACCAAAGCGGAATATTTCAACGAAGCGCCCATAGCAAGTGCACTGCTTCCCGTCTCCTAACCATGGTTATCACAAACCGAGCTAAACTCTCACAAACAGAGAAGAAGGCGAGATGACCGACAAGTTACGAGTGCATGCACTAGCCATGAATCCGCTCAAATTAATGGCGGCTTCACGCATTGTCTGAGGATTTTCACATTACGCGACCAACAAAAATAATTCTATCGTCGGCGGGTTTAGCGAGAGGATACTAACACTCGTTACGTTTTTTTTGCATACGTTGCCGGCTAAACAAGTCAGATATATTCCAAGCTTTCTTTGCAAAAGAGAGAATAAAATAGGCACAAAATAAACAATGTTGCGAAGACATTACCAAATTTTACTGACATATTGCGTTGACTAAACGCATGCTGAAGATACTTGGAAGATTAAGCACTTCAACAATGCAGTAATGTTTCACGTATGTATCCCGTGTGCGCTCAAAGGCGTGGGTTCTAAAACTGGGTTCTACGGAACTAAGGGGTTCCGTGACGGATATATACGCGGGTTCCGGGAGCGGGCAAGGCGAATGCAACGCGCTCCCGTTTTATCCCCATTAGCTTCTAACTTATTTATTTAGAACATCAAGTTTACATTGCATTTTGTATTCGACGAAGCCGTCGCACGCCACATTCTCACATTGGGTATCTGCGGGTAGCCATATATCCACGTGGTAGCAGCACTAAATGTTCGTCGTATAGTGAGTATGTGCCATGAAACTTCCGTGACTTGCGAACCCGTGGTGGCAGGGCTGGTAATTAATGCTTCTGTAGGTTCAAATCAGTTTAATTGTGTGGCGCAGTTTTCATACGCGGAGATTCGCCACTGTTTTATGTCGGTTTTGTGATTCGATCCCGCAATGAGCGCTTTCATACGTGTAACAGGTGTTGTTCTGTGCCAACGTTACTAGACTGGCGTACCTCCTGTCTACGTTGCAAAAGATAAAACAGGCTTGTGTACGTTCAGTGCTCCCTTTGCAGGAAGACGCACTTTATACGCTGCGCGGTGCCTAAAGCATAGTCGGCGCGCGCTTTACTCGCGGAGCGGCGCGGGCGGTAATCGCAAGTTTGTGTGTCAATGGCGATGACCTTGGACAGTAACAACAACAAAAAAAGAGCAGGCCAACACGGGCGGTGTTAGCCAAATACAATGGCTACTCGCGTCGACAGGTGTTTTCACCTCCCCCTTTCTCTTCCCCCTCCTTGTTTTTCGTTATCTTCATGTTCAAGAAAAAGTTTGGGGCTGTGCGGCACTCGCGGAAACGCCGCTGGGGTTCCTCACAGCCAGAAAATTTGAGAACCGCCGGCCTCATGTTTCAAAGCGAGAAAACATGCCGCTGAGGGTCAGAACGGACGTACTTGTTGGTCCGCTAATCTATAAAAGATGATTACGAAACGAGAAGGTAATCCGATATTGAATGTGCTTTCGCAGCCTATGAATTCATCTTTTATGATGGTGAGACAGCGCTACATTCGTAAAAGAATTAGACATCAAACGTACCAAAGAAGTTAGCCAAGAAGTGACAAAGTCGCTTTGCATTGGCCGAAGACGACTCAGAGACGGAGGTCCGCCTCTTCTTATTATTAGCCTGTCGTATTCTTCGTTTCATCTCAGTCATTTTATGAGGTATATAAACCCACTGACCTTCATTGTGCGAACCTTGCGCCTTTGTAACCGTACCATAAGGTGCCTGCATTAGTCACGTCCTACATAAGTTGGAATCAAGGATTCAGGAATTCTTGATTTTTGCGATCGCGTTAATGATGCCGCGTCGTGCGTATATGTATTTCACCATGTAGTTATTTGGGCACTGTGTCTATGCTTCAGTCAATTCGATGGCTCCTTCATGGCGACCAAACGGTTCCTCGTGCAGGTCTCCACATTCGGGCTTGACTGCGATCGGCTTGCTTTTTCGTCCACCATGGCTTCTCGTTTCATGCCGATAATGCGCTGTCAGTTGATTATCGCGTTGCTGGCGGGGCATGGTGGTGTGTTGACCTCTGTAAACTCCCAACTTGAGGCACAGTGTAATGAAAGGTGCGGCGGCTTTGTGATGCACATGTGTGTGGAGAATTGTCACTGCGTCTTCTACGCGGTCCACTGGGGTTTTTGCCTGCCGCATGGGATGAACGAGTCCAACCTGCCTCCAATAACGCATTTCTGAGACATCACCGCCAATAACGAACTTAATACCACGATATGTTTCATGCTTTCTACAGTCATCGTCACGAATTTAGAGGAGTTGTGAGTTGAAATGTATTGTTGCAGCCTGTTGCGAATCACAAAATTACCGGCTGTGTTTTACTTATGTTATTATAAACACACATACAAATAGTGTGACCCGTGAATAGAAGTTAACTCGTAGGCAAACTAGCCGCAACACTATCTCTTAGTATACAATATCAATCATTCAATCAATCAATCAATCAATCAATCAATCAATCAATCAATCAATCAATCAATCAATCAATCAATCAATCAATGCCAGGAAGAAGTCCTAGATTCGGTTCCCACTCGAAAGGATAATTTTTATTTATTCATTTATTTGCACACATTTCAAATTTTCACTCCCGGACAACACTTATTTTTTTGCGCAAAGCCGATGAAGCCAATGCCGACACACAGTGACACCGAAATTCATGCAAAGCGAGCGAGCTCTTCCACGCTATCGCTATAATAAGCATTATAAAGACTTTCTACCCCGTGGGTAGTTGAATGTTGACAGAGGTATCCACGTGCATAAAAAGAGGTATGCTTTGAGGCTGTACTACGCTGAATTAAAAAAAAACAACAGAAACTATAGAGCTGCACAGTTCCGGGCAGGATATAATAGCATGAACATATTTGTAAAGAAGTAGCAGATCAGCGCGATTTCATTGGCAGTGAATTTGTGGTAATGAATAATTCAAGAAGGCTTCTAGTAGACCAAGAGACATTTACGGCGAAGTAATGGGTGAAGGTTGTAATATGATTTCATGTAGTTTGTATGTACCCAATGAATGCCATTACTGCCAGGGTCGGAAACGATAGGCCAGATTACAGACTTGACTAGTGCACGGGAGACGTAACTTCGTGCAATGAAATAACGCTAATAATAGAAGAATACGCAACTGCAACAAAACATTGAAGTAATAGGTACATTTGAGAACTTATCACCATCTGACGATTAGAAAGCTTAAAGATAAGCGTACAGTATAGAAACCAAGAGCAACCAACTCGTTGCGACAACGCGTGGTACAGGATGTATTTGGGGGCGAACGGATGCCAAACCTCCCAAAGCTATCTAAGCTTCGAGAACATTATGCGTTGTACATTCTCTCCAGTTAATTGTTTTTGAATTTGTTTTTCTTATAAGCGCATTGCCTTTGTACCACACTGGAAACGCACCATTCAATACCCGTCTACTTTAGTGGGTACGCACCATTGCCATTTCCATTGCCATTTCCATTGCCATTACCATTCTATCACTATCAAGTCCCCATCAGACGGGATCTGAAGCGTCGAATCGCTTCCCCGATAGGACGGCCTGGGTAAAGGTACCCTTTTGACAATATTTATCTGTAATCTATTAGCACGCCCTCTTACTGACGTCAATCTCGTGACGGAAAGGAAGTGAGTCAACCCTCAACAGTGTACATAAGTATAAATACTTTCGTGTTAAAAAAAGAGAAAGAGAACGAGATAGGCACAAATTGTTGCGAGGTCTACACCTATTCCTCCAGATGCGATTCGTTGAGCGAACGTATGCAGAAAATACCCGAGTGATTAGGTCTCAGCGCTCTTGAATAACACACCATGTATTCATTATGTGCGCGCTCAACAGCTTAAGCAACCGCGCTGCAACGCGAAAAAGTATGCCACCAATGGTCGGAACGCACATATTTGTTGTTGTTTTTTCATCAGTGAAAGACAGGTATGAAACGAGAAGATAATTCAGTACAAACTGTGCAATCGTAGCGGAGGATGTCCCCTGTATGAATATCCTATGTGTTTTTTAATGACGTATTCTGCTTTGACCTCGCGTCTGCGGCGTACATATATTGTGTCGTGCAGTGACGTGCGCACACTCTCTCTGCTCCAGTCGTTTCTCGTGCTCACTGCTGACCTTTTCCGGGTCTTCCCTCGCGCAGGTCTCCACACTCCACTGCGTTCGGTTCGCTACTTTGTCGGCCATGGCTTCTCTTTCCATGTCCAGGGTGCGCTATCCGCTGATGCTCATGTTGCTGGTGGGGCACGGTGGTGTATTGACCCCGGCAAGCGCCCAAGAGCTGGCCGAATGCGGTAAAACGTGCGGCGGCTTCGTTATGCGCATGTGCGTGAAGGAGTGCCACTGCGTCTTCTACCCGGGCGACGCGGGTTTGTGCCTCCCGCATGGGTTGAACGAGAGCCACCTGCCCCCAAGGGGACACTTCTGAGGGGACACTGCTCGTTCCCGCCAGCCATTGAACCGGGATATCGGTTTCTCTATTCCTCGGCTGACTCTGACGCATTTCGTCTGGTCTCCGCTGTGAATACGCATGCTCTTACAGCCTTTAATGAATGAAAAAATATCTGTTTTTGATTCCTATTCTAATAAGGGCACAAATGCATCGTTGTGACAATGTTAGCGGGTTGTCGGTGACCTGACGCGGCAGCATTATTTCTTAGTACGCACTGTGATATTACCACGCACATGCATATGCATGCACACGCACGCACACACACACACACACACACACACACACAGGCACGCACTCACGCACACACACACACACACACACGCATGCACGCGCGCACACACACACACACACACACGCACACACACACACACACACACACACACACACACGCACGCACGCACACACACACACACACACACACACACACACACACACACACACACACACGAGCGTTTTTCTTATTGATGGTTCCATGAGGCGAAAACGCTGTAGGCCTGTGTGCTCAGATTTGTGTGCACGTTAAAGAACCCCAGGTGGTTGAAATTTCCGCAGCCCTCCACTATGGCATATCTCATAATGATATGGTGGTTTTTGGACGTTAAACCCCAGATATAAATAAATCAATTCTTTTATTGATGAGCGTATTAATTAGTTACTTTGTTCATCACTTGGCATGCACTTTTTTTTTGCTAATAAGTTTCTTTTGAAAAAAAAATTGTTTGGCTTGGTGGCGCACACCAGCTTACACAACGACACGAGAATTCCTGCAAAAATGAGGCCTGTAACGCTATCACTTTAAAACGCCGAAAAGAAGAAGAACGACCCCACAATGCGGCAACTGTGGTAACCTCGATGCTGCAATGAAGCATGTCACCACAGAACGCCCGAACTGCAAAGAGCAGCGCGTTCAGCTGAGTGATCGGTTGAACAGCCCCGACAGACGGTGCTCTTGCAGTGAGCAAGACGAAGATTTTTAATGAGAAGAGGGAGGAGAGGTCGGTCTGGAAAGCGGGATTCCTGCCTGATACTCTTCAAGAGGATAAAGGGCAAAGGGAAAGATGGAGAAAGTCAGTTGGATCTTAAAGGAGTAGCTCAACCCACCATGAGGGATCGGCCATGAATTGTCAGGCAGTGAGATTTTGGGAAAAGAGGAGGGAGGGGGGGGGGGGTTGGCTAAAAAGACATTTTGGCCCATGGCCACACTTGCTGGCTTGTGTGCTTGATCCTATATTTTGCCTCGTACCTACTGTGAGCGACTGGCCATTAAACCGGTGGTTAATAAGAGAGAAAACAATTTTCAACCTTAAATGAAGGGAAATGCATTTATGTGTCGTCAAGAGGATATATATGAAAATTGAAGAATAATAAGTTTACGTAGGAATAAATGAGAACAGTACTATAATGTGGAATACCATCAATATAAGTTAGAAAAAAGTCTAAAGCACTATACATTAATCGCGAACAGCTTCATCATCATCATTATCGGCCTGACTACGCCCTCTGCAGGGAAAAGGCTTCCCCATGATGCGCCAATCAACCCGTTCTTGTGCTTTCTGTGAATAGCAAGTAAATATTTTTGTGTCTATAAGAAATTCGCAAACGACGATGCAGACGTTCCTGTCGCTGCGCTGGCCAGGCTCTGAGAAAGACGTGTAGTGTGCACTCTTCAATATTTATAGTACACTAATTTTGTGGATTGTCTGTAAATGACATTATTGCGTATCATAATCCTATTCCGCTGTTAATGAACCTATCTCAAGGTTATTTCATACATAAGTGCGCGAGAACTGTATAAGTACGGACTAAGAAGACACGAATCCCAACTTATCTACAATAGTGGGTACACATGTCACGGTTTGATATCGTTCGGTCGCCATCGACGCAGAAAGATTTTCAATTTAATCGTAGCGGCTTTAATCGCACATCTCTGAATCAGTAAAATTAATTTGTTCTAACGATTTTGTAACGCGTCTGATAGACAATATGTGATCCCTTCGAATGATTCGTTTCTTGACCAATACCCCAGAGCCGGTGTGAGCCATACATATAGGATCATCATCATCATCATCATCATCATCATCATCATCATCATCATCATCATCATCATCATCATCATCATCATCATTTTCCTGTTAGTCGTGAACGCCACGTTGTTCTTTTCGAAGGGTTACTTCCGCTAGTCGTGGTGTCACTTTTTTTTTTCTTTTATGGCTATACTGACGCGAAACTTAAAAAGAAAGATCTCGCACAACTCGCAGATGAACGCAATCTGCTATGTTGGCTCTGATGCTGAGGAGTTTGCCTAACCACTTTCAGATAACATGAACGATCGTATCACCGGCACGCTCGAAGACCAAGCGTGAACTACAGAGTGCATGTAAGGGTCATCTTTTTCATCAATTGATTTCATCAGGAAGCAGGTCTTGTTATGAGACGCCTGACACTGCTGCTAAGATATTGTGTTAGAGACCGAGAAAACGTTGTGGAGATAATCATGGAATGAACGCATTTGTTGATTTTGTCGTTAGTATAAAACGATGAAAGATAATATCGGAAGTGAGTTCGATTTAGTGCACGCAATACCAGCGGACCACCATTCGTGCAACAAGATTGGATTACTTTCGTACCAGAATAGGGCACATCGCGAGGTTGAGCTAAACAAAGAAGCATGTTAAATGGCTGCTTGCTTCAATTACGTTGCAACTGTCTTGATACATAGTTTTGACATATATGATGCAATAAGGATGTGACGTAGCGTTCACTCTGCAGCATCATGCAGTCATGCGCGCCCTCTGTTCATGTTCAGTCATTTGTACAACTTACTGCTGACAACATATGCTTTCACGTGCAGGTTTTATAGCCGGGCTTGACTTGACTGGGTTTGGCTAGCTTCTTCGTCCACCATGGCTTCCTCCTCTATGTCCCTGGTGTGCTCTTTGGTGGCGGTCGTGCTGCTGGCGGGGCTCTGCGGTGTACTGGGCTCAGCACGCTTCCCTACTGGGCGCGAGTGTGGTCAAATGTGCGGTGGCTACGCGGGACTCGGGTGTGTGCCCGAGTGCCATTGCGTTTACTACCCGGGTGACCTCGGTATGTGCCTTCCGCACGGACAGAACGAGTCCGACCTGCCCAACTACGACATGATGTTTTTCTGAGGGGGACTCAGCTTTTTCTCCCGAAAATAAAACTTTGTTCCACGGCATTGTTTTGTCTGCCCTGCTCTTGTGTTTTTTTGCATTTTACACAGTTTCTGATTGTGAACATATACAACCTTGAGCACCTTTTGCGACTGAGAGAGTCACCAGTCGTGTATTACTTTATAATAAACACGGCGTGAAACGTGTCTCTGGGAGTTCATTTGTTAGTGGTACATAGGAGGTAACACTATCCACAGACACTTAACGTACTACTTCTAAAAATAATATTAACGATAGTGCACACTGATAACACAATGGTGAACGTATGCTATTCTATCAGCGAATCCAGACGGCTGGAAACACAGTGGTAGGCTTGTAGCCACCTTGTCTTCCGCGAACTTTCTGGTATTAACTTTATAGTATGTTTGAAGTTTGAAGTTTGAAGTTAATTTTATTTCTTTCTGATACAGAAAACGGAGTAAGAGCTAAAGGCTGCATTGCCTGACAGAGGTTCCTACTCCCATGCGCATTCGGCATGCGTGTACATGTTTGCATGCGATGCGAGTATACAAACAATAGAGCAACCAGAAAAATCAAAACATGCATGTACGTAATCGTCACTGCAAATAAAGCATTGCAGGTAGACATCATACATGAAAACTCTTCATGAAAATAAGCATATCATACAGACACTTCAAGAATATATTTTCCGATGGAGGCGGAAATGTTGTAGGCCCGTGTACTCAGATTTGGGTGCACGTTAAAGAACCCCAGGTGGTCTAAATTTCCGGAGCCCTCCACTACGGCGTCTCTCATAATCATATAGTGGTTTTGGGACGTTAAACCCCACATATCAATCAAGAATATATACCTATACGCATTAAATTGTGAACTTTCAAACTGTAGCACAAACTGTATATGCGGTACACGTAGAAAATCAGACAGATATATTTTATTGATAAGTTATCATGGAATGTAACAGAAATTTCTTTATAAATTTTTTAAAGCAGGGTGCATGAAAATCTATATGATGTTCAACAATGTTCAATAGCCGGGGTACTTGATACTCAAGGTCCTGACATCCGTAGTTAGTTCGCATAAGTGGTGGCATTCTCGTTTGGTGGCGTAATTGATATCGAGGGGGAGAAACGGGCAGGTTACTAACATGGAGCCTGCGCTTTTTTATGTGCAAAAGTAAGCTATAATAGTAGATTTGATTTGCTCTGATTAACGAGTGTTTCTCAAAAAGATTGTGTTCCTCAAAAATTCACCAAAGCGACTAAGCCTATGAAAAGGACCATTGTTATCGATGGGCCCATTAATTTCGGCCAACCAGGTTCCTCAACGAGCATTGACGTCGGACAGTGCGTCGTGGTGAAATGTTTCATCTGGGACTGCTGCTAAACAAGGTGCGTAAACAGAGGCTTGGTACCACACCAGCACGGGGGCGGGTGTGAGTGTCAGAAGCCGGGAGTGGCGAGGGCTGTTCGCCGAGTGGAGGACGTCACGCCGAGGTGATGTGTGATGAAGCATTGCGTGGGCTCGGGCCGGGCCGGGTAAGGCATTGTTGGATCGGGGCCAGGCCGGGCTCGGGCGCATGAGCTTCGGGCTCGGGCCCGAGTCAGGCCCGAGTCAGGCCCGTATTGGGCTCGGGCATCACACATAATGGCATATTGGCATGTGTACGCTGTTTGGCTTTGTTGTTTCGTGGGGTTTAAGGTACTAAAGTGACCCAGATTTTGTGACATGCTGAGTTGATGACTCCGGGTAAATTAGACCACCTGGAATGCATTAGCGTGCACTGAAAATGGAAAGTAGAAGACACCCAACACTTTGGTGCGTCAGCATGCTACGCGCACTTCCAAGAAACTCTTCATATAGGTTTTTAGCACAAGACTTAGTGAAAGAAGCTCTTGATTACCGTAAGAAAAGTTTTCCAGGTGATATACTGCTGCAAGACCAATGGTACACCGCTAGCATTATTGTATATAATCATATGGTGGTTTTGGGACGTTAAACCCTACATAGCAATCAATCAAGCATTAGTGCATACGAGATGTGCGCGTTCTTGTTTAGGGAAACATTCCGAGTATGCAGATACGCTCGCGTGAACCCACGCCTTTTTACGCCTGCGTGACTTCGTAGGCTGTTAAACGTAACTGGTGAGTCAGTAATAATATCTAAGGAGCTGTTGTTCGGGCACATGCAAGTGCAAGATGGGGAGTGACTCCTATGTCAGATGCGCCAATCGATGCTCATGTTGCTGATATTTTGTGCTAGCCAGGCAATTGCAAGTATTTAGCGTTTAGAAATTAGCCAAGGATTTCCGCAGCTATATGTGACGTCCATCGTATAGAAACCGTTCTTACTTATTTTTACAACCCCCTTCGTCTTTGTCATCAATCGACAATAATTCATGAGTGACCTCATTTGTCGAAGCGCAAGTGTTCTGATGGGGCTCCAAAACGCTAAGGCACGTTGCCGGACTAGTTGGCTGGGGTTCATCATTTATATGGGTATAGCGCATAACGACAAGGACGCAAAAAGAACACACACACACACACACACACACACACACACACACCACACACACACACACACACACACACACACACACACACACACACACACACACACACACACACACACACACACACACACACACACGCACACACACACGCACACACACACACACACACACACGCACGCGCACACACACACACACAATTGTGGAATTTAATGTCCAAACAAATTGTAGAATTTAACCTGCACTGCGTATCAGATGTTTGTTAAAACTCCAAGAATGCCTGTTGCATGGGCCCGTCGAAGCATCTCTGGTAGACATGCGCCCTTTTTTTTCCCTCCCCTTTTTATTCCCCGCCATTGTCTCCACTTTTTCCTTTCTTCCAAACATCGACCTCCTCCATTGTCACTGCCGTGAGCTGAAAGCCTGCAACCACAACCGCGAGCCATTGACAACCACGCTTCGCTCCGCTGTTTGCCCGCACCGAGACCTTCAGCTAATCGGCTACTAAACAAACAACTCTCTCGCTTCCGGTCTTTGCGGGGCATCGCGCTGCGAGCACCCAATACGCTACGTTAGACGAGAACGCTAACGAAGCCGTCGGCTGGCTCGCTTCGGTGCTTTAAGTGACAGTTCTTTTGGAGATCCTGAGTCTGGTCTTGCTTAAGGTGTAACTCTTTTATAGATCGAGGATGGTTACATGAAGACGATGAGATAGGCATCTTTGGGGAAAAATGAGGATGGTGGCTCGCTTGCTAACGGGTGTGTTTGACATATGTACAGAATTGCGGTGGCGGAGATTCAGGGAAGAAGGGTGGAGCAAAGAACATTCTTGCTTTTAGCGTGAAAATTTGATGTACGTCGGGGACAACCGAGGAGTCGACATGACAGCTTTAACTTATGCAACGCATGCCGAGTCTTGTGTATTCCTCCCAGAAGTAGCTAGAGTGCGTTCTCTTATTGCATTGCGTACTGAATGACGTTTGCAGGAGAGTTGCTACTTTTATTCAACAACCCCAGCTTGTATGCAATCTATATAGACACAAAATATAAATGTCAGCCATTTTTTTTTCAATTTGTGGGGTGGTATATTTTGCAGTAATTCTTTGAAATGGTAAAATAAGATTGTGTGGTTAGCACTGCATACAAAAGACAGCCAGCTATGATTGCAAATATATTTCGCAAATGTGGTTCGGGCGTAACTAAACAAAAATGATGCAGAGTACCAGTGAAAGTCGTGACACTGAAAGAAGTTGTCAAAGTACTCATTAAAATTTTTTTTCTGTGTGCCAGGTATGTTCACAATGACCGAACATTGGACAGTGCCTCGTTCATATTCAAGGCATAACTGGCTGAAACGGAACGGGCCGGATCGGGCCCGATCCATTCGGGCCCTGGCCGGTACGAGCCGTATGTAAAAAAACACTGGGCTGGGCTCGGGCGAGCCTGAGTCTGATGTTTTTGGGCCGGGCTGAAAATATCGGCTCGTGCAGTGCTCTAAATTGTGTGACTGCATCGCGGTGACCATCTTTTCGTGGGGCTAGGATAGTCGTCCGCCGGCTAATTCAAATAAAGTATTTTCTCTCTCTCTCTCTATCTCTCTTTCACTACCACAACTTGTTGAATGGAGGCTATCTTTGTCTCCACTGAAACAATTTCTTGATTTCTTGACGATGAGTTGTGAGTTAAACGTTGTCCACCATTCCAGCTCATTTCCGACGGTTCTTTTTTTCATTAAAATGTTTTTTTCTTTTGCCATCATTTCGTAAAAGATGGCTTAGCAGCACATCTGCATACTGTAGTGGGTATGTGACATTGTTGAGGATTTACAGTCTTTGTCACCACATCTGCAGCCAGAACTTGAAGCGACTCGCTGATTCCTTGAAGAGGCTTATTTCTATTGGCCGAGGTAAGTGTCGCCTGATTATCGTGATCATAACGTGAATGTGAAATGGGGGAGCCTGATGCCCGTCCCCAATGAACTCAGCATAATGGTATCTTGAAGGACCAGTTGGTATATGGTACTGAGGGGAGCAGCGCATTTTATCACGCCTGGAAATATATAGCTCAAAACTGAATAAAACCATTACGTGTACATAAAGATGAAAAGCGAAACGAATCTGCCTCGAGTCGAAATGTCCAAGTTAACCACTCAAAAACATTGTCTTTTTTCCCAAGAGGGCAACTGAAGGCTAGCTGACGCACATGTTCCCTTTCGTCTTGATATGAAAAACCTCGTTAATTTCGCGCTCTGTATTGTTACGATACCGTGAGAGTTGCTATGTTGGCTTTCATAATTAGTTTGCCTAATAGTCGCTAGCACTAACGTTGACCTCGACCCATTCGGTTTTGTTTTCACGTTCATGTCACGTGAGCACTTAAATGCATGAGTCAGTGTGTGAGCACGAGAAGAAAAGAACGCGCCTTTCGCGTCTAGAACACAGACGTGTGTTGTTCTTTTCAGTATGGATAAGAAACGAGATAAATATTCTAAAATGTCGAGTCACAGCGAAAAAAGTCACATGCGTGATGGTCAATGGA